ATATATACATATACGAAAAATAGTCTTTTCCTAAACACCCACTGGGCTTAGTGTAAAACATAATTGAAGTAACTTTGTTAGTGTCTGTAGGCAATGTGTCCGTGACTGTTACTAGTTCATTGTAAACAGTGATGGATGTGATTGGTGTATCATAAAAAGCAGACAAATCAATATATTTAACATTCATTGATGTTATGTTAACAAGGGAAGTACACCCAGATAACATCCCTTGAGTTACTGTTTCTAATAATATAAGATCGATGTCTGTTAATCCTTTGAGATTTGTAAATGCATACACATCAGCACTTATTAATCCACTCGGGAAATTCAACTTTTTGATGTTATTGTTATTGGCAATACCAAAGGTACCAATTGACATTCTTTGATATCCAATTTTGATTTGAGAGACTGAGGAATATTCAAATGTATGTGTTCCTATTATAGTTACCAAGACCATTCCAATTACACTGACTAAGTTATTTGCATAATAAAATACATAACTATGAATAGTAGCCATGTTTCGTAAGTTGATGGTCCGAATTTTTGAATTGGCAAAACAATAGGGGTTCATGTATGAAAACCCACCCATTGATATCACACTCTCTACACTGGAATAACGAAAAGCAGAGTCACCTAATCCAACTGGGGTGGTGCTTAAAAAAGTCACAGATTTAATTACTGTGTTAGGGTTAAATAAAGATGCTTGTGTTGTTGTACACACAACATTAATTATATAATCTTGACACGTGTCTTTGAATGAAGATACGTCTGTTGTTGAAAGAGTTGTTGTTACACATGTTACTTGACATCGCGAAGTTGAATTTACATATAAAAACAGTAGAAAACAAATAAACAAATGTAAACATTTCATTTTTTGTCTAATTTATCCTTTAATTAATTTGAAGATATTTTTTCAAGTATTTTTTAGTTTTTAAACACTACACTCTTGGGTAGTTCAAAAAATTAAAATGTATTTTTTATATATTTCAGACAAATTATAGTTCAAGTAATTTTCTGTATAATTAATTATATATAATAAGACCAGTTAAATGGTACAAATTATAGTTCAAATATAATAAAATTGAACTATAACTTAAACTATTTAATCACTTTTTTTATTTTTTAATTAATATCTAAAATTGAAAAACGAAAAGCACGTTAAAAAATCAAACACTGTATAAAGAATAAGAAAGCTATGAAATAAATAAAGACGATAATAAACCATGCACAAGAATCATAACTTCCAAAATTATTTTGATATGTTAACAAACAATGTTTAATATAATTAAGATTTTTACTTTTTAATAATATTTTTTTCCTAAAAAAACATTAATTTTTTGAGCAAAGACCTGCGCAAAATTTGCGCTAGTTTTCGTGGCAATAATTTTTTACTAAAAACGTTGGTAAAATGTGATTAAAAGATCAAATAAAAAAAGTTGATGGAAATAATTAAGGAAAAAATTTCATTTATATATTATTGTCATGTTTATTTTATTATTTTAATAAATTTATTCATATTTATTATAAATAAACAATGAAATATTTATACAATTTAACTTTGTGTTAATAAAGTCATTAACACAAAAATATGTTTTATCATTTATTATGTTAATAATTAAGATATTGTTATTATTAATTCTCAACACAGAACCGATCTTTAATTTGTAATTAGTCAAAGCTACATATTCAAAAGTCGATATGTTTTGAAAAATACCAATTGTGTTTTAATTAACAAGATAAATTTTAATATAATCACGTTCATAAATCCAAAATAATAAAAATATGATTAAAAACATTTTTAAACCTTTATGAAAAAATGTGTCATTTTAAAATAACACATGTTGTTAATTTTTTGTTTATAGTTTTGTTTTATTTTTTAATATGGTACTCATTTTAATACCACTTGGTAAACGAGTTTACTGTTTCAATATTATTATGATACAATCATATGGATTGGGATTAAGATGTGACATGTTTATCGTGTTTGAAAAAGATGTGTCTGGAAAAAAACACATTCTAATGTTTTTTATTGTTTTTTATAAAAACAATTTGCCCAATTTTATTATTATTGAAATGATGTTTTGTTTAAAATACGTTTGATGTTTTGTTATTTCTTAATTTTTCATGAATTGTTTTATAAAATAATATATTCAAAAAGATGGTTCTACAAGTTTATAATGTGTTTTATTGGTCAAAACAAAGATTCAATTGCTTAAAAAAATTCATTTTAAAAATTATGAGTTTTTTTCTTTTTCTTATAATAATTTTTATGTTTTTTAAAATTATTATGTAGGCTAGTGCGAGTATGGCACAGGTCTATCAATTTTATTTTTAATAATAATAAGTTTTTTTGTTTTGTTTTTTTATTTATAAAAACGTTCTTTCAGTTATTTAAGTGTTAAAAATTATTTTAATCGTTCAATATTTATAACATAAAAATAATTAATCAAAATGTGATGTCAGTTAGAATATCAACAACAGTTATTGCATTGATTCTTTCGCCCATATCTTGTGCCCAACACTTTTGAATAACTTCAAAAAGTTCTTGAGGCATATTTTCTTTCTTCTCAATTCGTTTGCCGTTAATAACAAACTCTGCTATTTTCCATGGAAATCTAAACAGATGTTTTGTGTATGCCTGACACCACCCAACACATTCATTCATTGTCACTCCAAACGAGTATATATCTGCTGTTTACTTATATTTGTCTTTTTTAAGTATTTCAGGCGCCATATAGACTGGAGTACCAATACCTTTTGTAAATGTCATGTTAGTCATCAACAAATTAACATTTCTTGCACTTCCAAAATCAGTCAATTTGGCATTCACCTTGTCATCAACATTCAATGAAACGACTAATATGTTGTCTGGTTTAATGTCTCTGTGTAAAATGCCATTTTCGTGTAAATACTTGATACCATGTGATGCATCTAACAATATTTTTACACGGAATTTAATATCAACGTCATTACTATTTTTATGTTTAATCAAGTCTTGTAACGATCCATACTGAGCAAATTCAGTGACCATACAAAGCTTGGTTGGTATGAACACGGCGCCATAAAAGTGTACAATATACTCACTTCTGAATTTGTCTAACATATTCACCTCATTTTTAAATTCCATCATTAAATCATCATCTTGTTCACCACTTATTTTCATCTTCTTGATAGCCACTGTATTACCTCTGAATATGCCTTTATACACAACACCAAAGGAACCTTCCCCAATTTGACTCGATTCTTCAAGTTTTCTGTAATTTAGTTTTGTTGATTTTTCTGTGGTTACATTAACAGTTACACTTGTTGTGGTTTGTTGTCCGCTTGTAATATCAAGTGCTATGTCGGCTACTTTATCATTGATCTGACATGAACATAACGGTGTGATAAAGATCTCAAACTCACAAGCCTCACCTTTGTGGAGTGTAACAAGCGATGGAACACTTCTTATTGTATAGTAATTACACCCATTCATCACGCTCAGTTGAACTTTCATGTTGTGTTTTGATGTGTTTCCAATACATATTAAGTCCCTTGTTTCTTTGTCAACTGAAATAAACTCATCATTTTCCAAATCAAATTTCAAAATTTCTTTGTTAGTAAACTTGGGCCATAAAGTCCAACACGTTAAAACAGTATTTTCTTCTTTTGTTTTTCGGGATATTAATATATTTTGTCGAAATTTATACCTGTTTTACTTATCATTATTTTCCCTTATTTCTATTTTTTGCGTCTTATTTTTTGATTTTTAATTTTCTACTTACACTACAATTTCCTTATTCAAAATCATGAAATATTTTGGTTTATAAAACACGAAAATTAATTTCATACCCAAATTTTATACAAAAATCGCAAATTTAATCATAACTATAACATTTAAAAAAATGAAAATAAAATATATTTTTTTTTCAATTTGTCGTTTTGTACAATAACAACGAAAAACACGACTTAATTATAATTTTATTATTTAATTAAACTAAAAAGTGTATCAAAATTTTATATGGAAACACATGAAATTAATTAAAACACCACAAGTAACAAAAATTTTTTATTTTCTTTATGTTGAAAATATTAAAATATTAATTATAAAAATGTAAATATATGATAATTGATTAATTTTGTTTTTATAGATGAAACATAGGTGATTCGAAATATTAATTGGAATGAAAAAAACTTTTTTATTATAAAATAAAAATTACAGTGGTATTCACTTTAGATCCTTTACCCGGCATTTTAAATAATTTTTTATGCATTTTAATAAAACTGTTTTCATAATTTTTGTTAATTCGGAAATTATAATAAATTGTATAAACACTTTAAATAAAACAAACGGAAAAAGAGAAAAAAGATTGGAAACAAAATAATTCGAGTTTTACAAATAAATCAAACGGCACGAAAATAAATCAGTCGGAACATTAATAAATATATTCTGCATTTATAATTAATTCACTTATTTTTTAATTATTTCGTCACCAAATCAATTATAGTATATTTTTATTTAAATAATTATAATGTTTCATATTTTGATTATCGTAACTTGAAATAACACATGAACCGCTCTTCTTTAGAATACATTGATGCTACTGACCCCGGGAGTCGCTCAGATTACCTTGAAAATGCTCCCGAACCACAACAAGGTGTTCCTTTAGAGGCTCTACACATTGAACCTTTTTTCCCACCTGACAACACAAAGAAAAGAAGAGGAAGACCCCCGAAAACAATTGAAGAAAAAGATGACAACAAGAAAAAACCATACAGAACCGTATCTTTAAAGACGAAACAGGAATTGGTCAAGGCATTTAGAACAGCAACAACCATTGACCCGATGCAGTTCTCACTTGATCTTGGTATACCCATAGACAATTGCAAATATCTTGTTAACAAATTGATTAAAGGTGAAAGTATTTACCCCGTTAATCATTATTGCAGAAAGAGCCGCACCACTACCTTTCAAAAGCTTGTCGGGGCTGCTCTTAAAAATAATCCAACCGATTCTATCGCAAAAGTGAGACGCAAAATGGTTGAAGTGCTTGTTGTTGGTAATATACAAGACATCAATGTTGTTGAAACTTTGGATACCGAAATACTTGACAACCTGTTTCAAAAAATAAAAAATATCGAAGATAATTTTGAGACATCAGAGTTGTTTAAAGAAAAAGTAAAAGAAGCAGAACAGTTGGTGCCTTCGGAGGCTTCATTTTTGAGAATGATAAAATGTAAAATCATAAATGGAGATGCTGGAGATTTGGGAACACTATCATTCAAAAGAGCAACAAATAGAGGAGCAGCAGCCAACAGCGAAGACAATAAAACAAGACGTATAACCGCGATTCAAGAACTAAATGATAAACTTAACGCGGGTTATACTTGGGTGTGCATAGACGAGATTGCCTGGACAATTGCCTGTACTTCTGTTTATGGATGGTCTCCAGTGGGTAAGAAGTGTTTTTTAACTAAACTGAAAAGGGGAATGAGGCTAACTTCCACTGCAGCTATTGATAGTAGTGGTATGGGTCACTGTAACCTTGTGTGTGGGAGTAACGACAAAGAAATATTTAATAGTTATTTCAAAAGACTCATGTCGGTTTATGATGAAGCAAAGATACGAGTCGTATTCTGGTGTGATAACTGTTCAATTCATAATGATATTTCAGCTATAGTTAACGGTACCCACCATTGTATCGTTTTCAATGCAGCATATTCACCCGAACTCAATCCTATTGAGAACGTTTTCGGTTTTTGGAAGCGAAGAACAGAGGAAAGCATCAGAAATTGGGAAAATCTTCAAGACATGATTGAAAAAATAAAAAAATCATTTGAAGAAATTCAAGCACCTGAAATCAACGCGTCAATGCAGTGGTACAGAAATGAAATATGGCGACGAGCTTTTGCAAGAGAAGATTTATAATTTCTTATTGTTGGCTTTTTGTTAAAGATATTTTAAGTTCAATAAACAAACAATTATTCATTGTTTTGTTATAATTATTTAAATAAAAATATACTATAATTGATTTGGTGACGAAATAATTAAAAAATAAGTGAATTAATTATAAATGCAGAATATATTTATTAATGTTCCGACTGATTTATTTTCGTGCCGTTTGATTTATTTGTAAAACTCGAATTATTTTGTTTCCAATCTTTTTTCTCTTTTTCCGTTTGTTTTATTTAAAGTGTTTATACAATTTATTATAATTTCCGAATTAACAAAAATTATGAAAACAGTTTTATTAAAATGCATAAAAAATTATTTAAAATGCCGGGTAAAGGATCTAAAGTGAATACCACTGTAAAACTTTTTTTTGAATCAATTAAAAACGGGAAAAAAAAATAATTGTATTTATAAAGATTTTTGAACAATCAAAACTTGTTTCATTATTTATCGACTTAAGTAAAGCCAGTTTTAAAACGTTTGCTGGTAACTTTTAAACCATAAATAGTGGAATGTTTCGGGAAGCCTTCCCAAAAAACCATTCCAATTGTTTCGAGTTTTTTCACGCTTTCCTAATGCCAGATTTTTAGAAAAAATTAATTTATTTTTTGTCCACCAAATAACTTTAAAAGACTGACTCTAGTAATTATTTTATTGTTACAATTATATTATGTTAAAAAATAATAGTGATTTAATTGATTACAGTATGAGGAAATATGGGGACGCTAGAAAAAGGAGGATGCTTGTGACTATTGGCCAATTTCAATTGAAAAATAATAAAATTACTGTTGCTTTTAATATAAATTATTTATCAATAAATTAATAAAATGAAAAAACCAAAATAAATTTATATTAATTATTTATTATTAATAATATTAAATTAATTAATATTTAGATAAGCATCCCACTTTTTCCTTTAACTGTAATGATAAATTAAATATAACTTTTAATTGAGTATATTTACAAAAAATGGCATATTTTGATCTTTTATTTTTTAACCAAAATTTGAGCATAAATTATTAAAAATATGGTTAAAAAAGTGTGTTAATTTAAAAGTTTTTTTATAAAAATAACAAAACACATCTAATAAATTAAACTTCATCAAAAAACAATGATAAAATACTTGCCGATCAAAAAATTGGTTGTTTTGTTTGAAACCATAATAAATAAAAAGATAACTATGCTTTGAAACTGATTTACATGTATTTGGTAATTGTAATAAAATAATATATTAAAATAAATCACAATTGATTTTAAAAGTATTGTGCTTCGATAATTGCTTAAACCTTATGTTTATTCTTTTTCTTTTAATTCTTGTGATTTCTGTAACTCAATTTTTATAATTCGTTCTTTTCTTGACGTTTTCGCCTTTCCTCTTCTTTTGTTTCTTTTCATCTTTTACGTTGATCTTTTTTTCCACCCACTTTAACTTGTGTCCACTCGTCTTCTTTTTTTAGTGTTGAAATTCTTCAATTTATTCTACAACTTTCTCTTTTTTTAAAGAATTTATTCTTCAGGTTTTGGTTTGGTTTCAATAACTTCTTTCTTATGTTCAACTTCCTGTTAAGAGTCTTCTTTGTGTTTTTTTGGATTTATTCTTTGTCTTTGTTGCTGACCTTGTGGATACACGAAAAAATATAGTTTGTTGGGTAGTTTGATGTCTGGTTTGCTGATGATAGTTCTTGTTTGATTTTATACTTTTCAACAATGAAATTGTCCTCACCAATTTTTGCCTTGATTTCGGCAGCATTTTCAACAGCCTTGAGTGCAGATTAAAATGTTCTGTACTTGACATATCCAAATCCATTTGAATCACCATTCAATTATATTGAATTGGATTGTGATTTGTATTTGTTTGACAGAATACTTGATTGAAATGATTTCACCAAAAGTCATGAAAACGTCTTGCACCTCTTTCTGACCGACGGCCTTCTTAATGTTTTTGGCATCAAAGTCTGGAAATCAGGTGGTGGTTATTTGGAAGCGAAGAATGATATTTTTTGTGGGTTTTTTTTTGTATTGTTTAATTTAGTTTTATTGTATAATATACAGTTATGATAAAAACCAGTGCAACTTGAACAAAAATGGGGTGACTGAGTAAAATAATTCTAAAAATAAAAGAATAACATTATTTTAAAAAACGTTTGAAAAACAATTTAGAAAAAAAACATTCAAAAATTTTATTTATTATGTTATTTTCATATTTTTTATTTATTATAGAAGAAAAATAAAAACCTGAAGTAGAATAACAACACAATTCATTTACAATAAGCAAACAATATCGAGATAAGTCTTTTCACAAAAAACTCTTCATTACTTTTCTCTCTTGTTTTATTCGTTACAGTTACATCTTCCATTTTCTCTCCTTCTTCTCCTCAACCACTTTTTCATAATAAATTGTTCCTCAAGTTCAATTTCCATGCCTTTATCATCAACATCATCTTCTTCGACTTCTTGAATCATATACTCGCAGAACCATCTTGGTTGATTTTTACATAAACCAAAGAATCCGACGTCATATCCATTGTGACACAACGCAACATTCATCGTATTGTTCATATTTCAATTTTTTAGTTTGAACTCATAATATTTTAGTACAAATTCTGCCAAAACATGAAAATGGAGGGAAAGTGGAAAGAAAACGGTTTTTTTACAAAAAGAAGATTTTAGGGCAATCGATCG